AAACGGTTGAGATCCCCACCCCAAAACTATATATACAAATGCTGGGCATAAAGAGACGAATGCAGTCATGGTATTAGAATAGACCCTGGGGTCTGACCGAACCCCTAGGGACCTAGTTTCTTAGTCACAGCTTGGAAACAGTTGAGATCACCACCCTATAACCATATATACAATTGCTGAGTATAAAGAGATGAATGCACATATGCTTCCAGGATGGCCTTGGGGACTACCCCACGCTTGGATACTTAACCCCTGGGTCATAACTTCGAAATGGTTAAGATCCCCACCCCAAAATTATATATACAATTGTTGCATGGCATTAAGAGACGAATGCAGTCATGATATTAGAATTGACCCCATGGTCTGCCCCACCCTTTCAGACTTAACCCCTGGGTCATAACTTTGAAAGGGTTGAGATCCCCACCCCAAAACTATATATACAAATGCTGGGCAAAAAGAGACAAATGCAGTCATGATATTAGAATTGATTCTGGGGTCGCCAAAACCCTAGGGGCCTAGTTTCTGAGTCACAGCTTGGAAACAGTTGAGATCCCCACCCCATAACCATACATAAAATTGCTGGGCATGAAAAATCTAATACAGATATGCTACAAGGATCGGCCTTGGGGTTTGGCATATTCCCTTGGATATCATTTGTAGAATATTTTGCCATGATTGCTTAGATATCCAGGTGAGCGATACAGGCCCTCTGGGCCTCTTGTTTTGATGAATCGTCCTTGATCGTGACGTCAGGAAAAAGAGGATATGGACACAGTTTGATCGGTACAAAAGCCTTCGAAATACGAAGGGCTGCGAGCAATGCAAATTATTCAGTAAATGTTTCATGTGGATTTTTCGGGCTTGATTACTTCAATGTTCTGGATGGACCATCGATCGCTTTTGAGATGTTGAACTTTTTCGAGGAGGCACTGAATGAAACAAACGATTTTGGTAACCTCACATTTGCTCGAGGGGATGTCGTAATTATGGATAACTGCCCATTACACCATCATTGTGTCGGGGAAAGACTTCTTCGAAACCTACTGGACCAACATGGTGTATCTCTTATATATCAACCTCCATATTCTCCTCAATATAATGTAGCCGAATGCGTTTTCCATGCTATGAAACATCGCTTGAAGTGTAAACCAGGACTCGCTGAACAATTTTCGGAATTTGCCATAGTTTATGCACTTATTGACATACCAAATATTTACTTATCCCATTATTTCAGACATTGTGGATATGTATAAATTAAGAGTGGGGTGAAATAAAAACACTCGTCACTCTGATTTATTGCTTTTTTAGGTCACCTGAGCTTTGCTC